TTTCGTTCCTTAATTTATCACACAAATTATAGTTTCAATTGAACAATGAATCTTCTGACTTTCCAGTAAAAAAAATGAAAAAAAAAATGAAAAAATCAATATGCCTATATTGGCCTTATTTTGTTTTATTTGAAAATGACGTGATTTATTCTCAATTCTCTTTCACGGTCTCAAAACTAAACCCACCTCAGTCCTCTCTAGCACTTTCTTCCTCCCAATTCCCATTGCTAACGTTAATCTCTCCTTTTCTCCCATAGAGACGGATCTCTAATTTTCTCTTTGTTTGTGCAAATAATCTCACGGGAGAATATTCGCTTTTAGATCCTTCAACCATCGATCTTCCTTTTCTCTTTCTCGATTCCTGTAAAAAATACCAGAGTAAATAGACCATACCCGGGGGGTGTTGGCCAAAGGCCTTTCGAAGCCTAAGTTAGTTCGAATGTTTGTAGGAAAACAATAGCTAAGCAAATGGTACGGAGTTGTATGTATGGTGTGAACCAAGCCGCCGGAGCCGTGTGGAGAAAATATGGAGAGTGGAGAGTGGAGAGAGAGAGAGAGCTTCGAGTATTTTTCTCAGATATTAGGAGTAGGTTTAGATGTACCATGAATGATGAATGAGGTCGTCTATTTATAGGAGCCTCGAGGCTAGGGTTTCGTAGAGAATATGATGAGTTTATTCTCTACCCAAATTCGTAGGGATCGAGTTGGACTTGATAATATCTGAATTAATAATATTATGTTCTCTTTATTAGGATAATATCTGAATTAATGATATTATCTTATTAAATAAAGATAATATCATATTAATTAAGATATTTATCCATATTAATTAATTGGCCAGATAAACTGGTTCAATTAATTAATTTAAGATATAATTTTCTTTTCCACGTAGCGCGCTGTGATTGGAGACGAAAATATTTGCTCCCACAAATGCCCCCAAGCTTCTGCATGATGCTTGTGTGGCATGTAGGAGATGAAATTATTTTTTTCAGGCTCTTCAATTGTGTTTGGGCTTTCTTCTGTGAGTTGGACTCCTTTTGCAGATCGGATTCCCAATTGGTGTAAGCTTCTGACTATTCTTGGAGTTAGATTCCCAGTAGGAATGAGCTTGCGATTCCTTGACCCAGGTTGTCCAACTTGTATAAATATAGGGTTTCTCTTCACTCTTTCTCACATTGCAAACTTAACTTCTCTACTTTCTAGCTTGAGAAAGATCTTGGAGAATTTGTACTGCTTGTCAAAGAGATGAGTTGTCATGCATCCCAAGATTGCTGCTAAGTGAGTATCAGGAGAAAGTTTGTGGTTTGCCCCCTGCCCGTTTGACCTACGTCTAGAGACGTGCCAATGAGTGTGATCCATTTGGCCTATATCCGGAGACGTGTCAATAAGAGTGGCCCGTTTGGCCTGCGCCCAAAGACGTGTCAATGATAGTGGCCTGTTTGGCCTACGTCCGGGGACGTGTCGATGAGTGTGACCGGTTTGGCTTACGTCCGGAGATGTGTCAATGATAGTGGCCCCTTTGGCCTACGTCCGAAAACTTATCGATGAGCGTGGCCCGTTTGGCATACGTCTGGAGACGTGTCGGTGATAGTGACCCGTTTGGCCTACGTCCAAAGACGTCTTGATGATTATGGCCCGTTTGACCTACGTCCGGAGACGTGTTGATGAGCGTGGCCGGTTTGGCCTACGTCCGGAGACGTGTAGATGATAGTGACCCGTTTGGCCTACGTCCAGAGATGTGTCGATGAGTATGGCCCGTTTGGCCTACGTCCGGAAACGTGTTGAGGAGAGTAGCATGTTCGGCCTACGTCCGAAGACGTGTCGATAAGCGTGGCCCGTTTGGCCTTTGTCCGAAGACATGTCGATGAGTGTGGCCCATTTAGCCTACATCCGGAGACTTGTCTAGGAGAGTGGCCTATTTGGCCTACGCTCAGAGACGTCTCGATTGCTTTTGTGAACACTCTATTGGAAAGAAAAGCTTGAACTTATATTGATGTCTGTGTGACTACATTACTTTATTGAACAAGAAAGATGAGTTGCATGAGTAACACCAAAAGTTACTTGTCTTCAATGGAGGTGAGTGAGGCTTGGCCGCCTGCTTAGAATCAAGCTGATAGGTGAGAAGCTTCATGGATAGTACCCCTGGAGGTGATGGGCATTCTATTTCCTTGGAACTTCCTTCCATTGAAAGGTGATGAAAGGTTCGTCTTCCATAACTTGGTAACTAGTGACGCCTTTGGAGACGAAAGTCGTCTGCTTAATCTTTCTCTTCTGCCCCCTAGTGGTCAGCCCAGGCTCTTGGAGTCAGCTAGGATCGTGTTGATCCATATGACTTTTTTTGTGGAGGCTCATTGTTAGCTGCGTCACAATCCTTGATTTGCTGGATAGCCCCCCTTGCGATGAATTCCGTGCAATGGCCATCTCTGACTAGATCTTCGAGGTGCCTTTTCCAAGTAAAGCAGTCGTTTGTGTAATGACCGTGACCTTCATGGAATGTGCAGTATCTACTAGTATCCTTCTTGGTTGGATTTCCCTTTAAAGGCGATGGTTTCTTTAACCAAGGCATGTCCTTTATTTGGGCTATGATCTAGTGTATCGGGATAGTGAACTTAGTGTAGCTCTCTGCTGCTGAAGCACCTTCCTGAGGCTGTGATCTACACTTGTCCTTCTCTTGGCTAGCATACTCAGATGCTTGATCAGCCTTCTTCGAGGCGATCCGGTCGTCGTCCCATAGTGCGTAGTGCTCTGCTGTAGCGAAGACTCCTACCAGTGTTTGGCAAGGAGAGATAGTCAGCTTGCGATACAGCTTACATTCAATTGGCAACCCCCTCTTGAAGGCGGATGACGCAATTTGGTCATCACATCCTACAATGTTTGCCCTCTCCGCTTTGAACCTCTTGATGTAGTCTTGGATGATTCATCAAACTTCTTGTACAGGTTGAACAGATGGTTAGGGTTCTTCTTGATCGACCCGGATGGCAGGGTATGGAACCAATCCTGAGCTGCTCATCGTAAAGTCATTGCAAACATCTTGCACATTTGCGCGTCTTCAATTTTGTGTAGGATCATAAGGCTCTTGAAATGCTTCATATGACTTTCGGGATCGGAATCCCCTTTGAAGCATGTGAAAGAGGGCGTTGAGAATTATTTCGGGGGAGCAGCTTGCTTGATTTCACCGGTTAAAGGTGAGGAGTTTGCCCGGTCTACCTCCATGCGTAGTGCATCTTCGAAATTTCCTCCAATCTTTAAGTCTCGAAGTCGGTTATTCACAAGCTTCTCAACGTCTTCCGCACACATGGCTAGTCGGTCACGTTGATGACCTTTACAATTTGGGCGAGGCTGATGAACTTCCTCGTTGGTTTGCAAGGGTCGACTTTCTCGATTACGCTGCCTAGGCGATGTGTTGGTGGACTGTGCTTAACTGGGATTTTCTGTAACTTGAAGACGAGAATTGGTTCTTCGAGAGCGAGCAGCAGAGCGCCTTTCTTCACTGTCCTCGTTGTGAGGGTTATCAGGTTGACCTCCCTGGGGCCTAGCCTTTCATGAATATTTCTTTGCGAGCGGGCAGCGGAGCGCCTTTCTTCACAATCCTCATTGCGATGATTGTCAGTTTGACCTCCTGGGAGCCTATAGCCTTTTATGAACATTTTCCTGCAGGCCCAGGTGAGCGTGGATGTCAGGTCATGGGCCCAGCCTATCGTTCACGTTGGTCCTTAAATTCAATCTGGATGGGAGACTTCCTCTACTCTGAGTGTGGCTTGCAGATGCATGCGACATGTCGGCAAGCTGATCTTGTTGTTGTGCATCTCTTTGTCTGCTTACTCCTGCTCGACTTGCTTGGTTCCCACCGAACTGCCTATCGGCACGTTCGTCCATCTTTCTCTCTTCACCCTATTGTCAAAGGCCAAGGTTTTGAAGCAAGTTAATTTGGTTGAGGAGCTGCCCCATCAAATTGTTTGGTAGTCCATTCTCTGAGTTAGCTGGTCAACTCTCAGATTAAGGTCTACTTGACTTCGTGGATCAGGAGGAGAGAAATGTGTGGAGCCCAATTGCACATGGGCTAGGGTTTCATTGGATGTGTACGTGGGAGCGTGTGTCGAGCGTGGAGGCAATGGAAGGAATGCTTGAAGTTGCTCCAAGATTGGGCCAAAGTTGGCGGTGGTAGTGAGCCCACATTGATGTAAGGTTCCACCATGCTTGACGGCGGTGCTATGAAGGTGGCTAGATCCAGCCACAGGGCCTTGAGATGGTACGATGACTACAGAGGCTGGTGCGGTGGTCCCAACTGCGAGTCCAGAGTGGCATGGTGGTTCCAGTCATATAGGGTGGCTGCTGTGGTGCAGCAGCAATGGTTTGCTGTGGGTTCATGGAGGCCAAAGGCGATGGAGCCGCCATGTCGATCGCGGGATCATGGGAGTAGTAGTTTTGGGCCGTCACGGATTGAGCCATCGCAGCTGTTTTGCTCCTCGTGCACTTGCTTCCAACCATGGTTGTTTGGAAGACTTTGGTGGATTGGAAAATAGGAGGAACGGATTCCTTGAGCACACGTTGAGTATAACTCGTGCTCTCAATGAAAGCACCAAATGTTTGTGCAAATAATCTCGCGGGAGAATATTCTCTTCTAGATCTTTCAACCTTCGATCTTCCTTCTCTCTCTTCCTCAATTCCTGTAAAAAAGACCACACCCGGGGGGGGGGGGGGGGGTGGCACAAGGCCCCTCGAAATTAGTTCAAATGTTTGTAGGAAAACAATAGCTAAGCAAAGGATACAGAGTTGTATGTATGGTGTGAACCAGACGACTGAAGCCGTGTGTGGTGGCCGAAACCGTGTAGAGAAAATATGGAGAGAGAGAGAGAGAGAGAGAGAGAGAGAGAGAGAGAGAGTTTCGGGTATTTTTCTCGGGTATTAAGAGTAGGTTTAGATGTACCTTGAATAATGAATGAGGTCGTCCATTTATAGGAGCATCGAGACTAGGGTTACGTAGAGAATATGATGAGTTTATTCTCTACCCAAATTCGTAGGGATCGAGTCGAACTTGATAATATATGAATTAATGATATTATCTTCTCTTTATTAGGATAATATCTGAATTAATGATATTATCTTATTAAATAAAGATAATATCATATTAATTCAGATATTTATCTCTATTAATTAATTGGCCAAATAAACTGGTTCAATTAATTAATTTAAGAGATAATCTTCTTTTCCACGTGGCGTGCTGTGATTGGAGACTAAAATATTTGCTTCCACACTCTCCAAATATTTTTTTTCAACATTTCATACAACGCTAGTCACTATAGCATTATACTCACAAGTATCACGGAACATTTTAAGCTTCAAATTGTTGTAAAGGTCAATCTAAAATTGGAGCTAATGAGAGAAGAACTCAAATATTGTTAATCTTTGCAACCAAACAAATGTAATGTATCTTGATAATCAACTCCACAAGTCTAATTGGATCCTTTGGCTACCAACGTTGATTTATAATGCTCAATCGCCCGTCAACTTTGTGCTTTATATATGGTGATGATCCACTTAGATCCAACTATCTTTTTCTCTGTTGGAAGAGACATCAACTATCATCCCATGTATTATTTTAATGCATAAAAAGGGGATAGAATTTAAGTGCAAGGGAATAACTACATTGTCTTTATCAACTCACCTGACTTCCATTACATGCATCCGATTAAACTCGGCCATTCTAATCTAGCTTGACATGTTAGCAGCCCTAACAAATAAGGACATGCACGAATAGAGCATTGGACAATTTTATTAACAAGTCAAGAGACAAAACACAAGATAGCATTGCTTTAATGGTTGAACAAAGAACTGTTTTTATTCAATGTAGTACTACTAGGGCACGACATCACACCCCTTGCGAAACCACATAAATATTCAATGTCCACCTCCCACATCTACTCAGCAAGGACACTGTGACACAGAAAAAAAAACAAAAACAAAAATTAATGAGCATTATATTATAACTTTAGTTTTGGTCATCCTAATTATAGGGGCTAGATCAAGTGTTGCCAGAGTGGGAGAATTTGTCACCGTCCTAGAGATTTAAGTGAACCTTAATCATGGTGTTAGACCTTAAATCCCATTACAAAAATTGATCACATAAACTACATGCACATATGAAAGTATCCATATCTATATTTTTTAAACTTTTGTGTCAAGAAAGAAATATAGTAAAGTAAGATTGTTCATACCAGAGATCAAATTTGACAAGATAATTAAGTACTAAATCTTCATATGTTTCTCAACACACTCATCGATAAAAAATAAGTCATACAATCTGCAAACCTTTTTGTTATCTCTCCGTGTGAACAAATTTCTGTTGACATTTCTGTAAAATCCTTAAGATGTAGACATTTTCCAGTAACTTCTTCAGCACATTTCACTCTTTAATGATTGTACTTTTTGTATTTTGTAAGGAAATGCTTAACAAATAGAGATTCAATGGAATCAGCTAAAGATGGTGGAAGAATATTAGAGGTAGGGGGATCGTCTTTTGCTCCTAAAATTTGGATAAGATAGTTCAATCAATAAAATAAATACAAATTTATAAAAAAACCCAATCCTAGACATGTATTTATAAAAAAACCCAAGCACTATTTAAACATAGAAACACACCCAAAATTAACCCCAAAGTCAACTTTTTTGGTGTGTTTATAAATAGGTTTTGAGTGTGTATAATGATGGGTTTTGGGTGTGTTTATATGTTTAAATAGTGCTTGGGTTTTTTTATAATTTCAACCCCCATTTTGGGTGTTTTAGTGAAACTCCCTAAAATAAAATATAAAAAATCTATCTTCCCTTAGCCTAATTTAGCTTATAAAACGTTATTTGAAAAAAAAAAAAAAAAAAAAAAAAGGTCACTTACTGGGAAAGGCACCCTTTTAAAAATAAATTATATTTAATTTTAGTTTTGCATTTTTTTAAAATCAAAATAAAAAATTTACAATGGTGAAAAGAAAATGTAACATTTTGTTTTCCTTTGATTAAACCAAAAGCTGGTCGTCCCCTTCTCTCCTCTACTTCACTTCCCTTTCCTCCTTTATATGACACGTGTCTACTTTTTAGGAAAATAAGTTGGTATTCAAATCAAACACTCTTGTCCAGTCTAAATTACTCTTTTGTCCATTCATATTCCTTTCTCCCTGGGCTTTTTTTTTTCCAGGTAAAATTCTCTCTGGTCTCTGTTATGCATATAACAGCAACAACGAAAATTATTTTGAGAATATTTTATTCCCATATTATTTGTTTTGGTTTAGATTAATTGGTGAGTTTTGTAAAACTTTTAAAACAATTCAGAGGTAATATCTTTAAGTTTTAAAAATCATTTTCCTTTTTCTTTTTCTTTTTCTTTCAACAAAAGATCGTTTTGTTGAATTTAGTAAATATAAATGCAGACCAGTAAAAACTTAAGGTTTGAGGAATTTTACTCGTGGTTGAACTTGAAGTTTTAGATTTTGTACTTGTTCTTCTCTTCAACTATAAGGCCTTCTCCAACCCATGAGGGGCTAAACTCAAATTTCCTCCCTCTAAAAAGTGACTATATAGGTTTTGCCCGGACTCAAATTGTTTTTTTCCAACCCTAAGGACTTAAATTTTAGGTCCGCAACTTTATTAAATTGTTTAAGAATTGTTTAAGTCTTATTTTTTTTTTAATGGATAACTTTTCTTCATTTAATCTTTTTAAATAACATCATAATTTAATTTTTTGAACAATTTGACTTGAAAAAAATTGAAATTCCATAAATGTAATTTTATTCCAAAAGTAAACACACAACATAAAAAAAACAAACAACATAAAAAAAAAATACATAACATAATTGAAACACAAAATGAGGATTGAAATAATTGTCAACCTCATTCACCATCTCCAAAGCTCCTCTAAAGGTGATTGATCAAATCATTTTGGAGACTCTGATGCACATGTGGAGATCGAACTCTATTATGACGAATCATGTAATCAGAGAGAGTATGCCTATCTTGGTGGTACTCATATGTAATGCTTGGCTCCAACTCATATTGTTTTGCTCTAGCCCTCCTGGATCGTTGTGAACACATATCCTCATCATCACATTCCTCTTCAACATATTCGTACTCATCTTCCACAATCATGTTGTGCAAAATTATACATGTCATCATGATTGAGTGGAGGTTATCCTTGCACCACATACATGCAGGGCCCCGAACAATAGCCCATCGAGCCTGTAGTATTCCAAATTCTCTTTCAACATTCTTCTTGTACGCTTCTTGCATTTGTGCAAAAAGCCTCTTCTTTGGGTTATCAGGAGAAGATACGGTCTTCACCAAAGTAGCCCAATGGGGGTAGATCCCATTTGCTAAATAGTAGCTCAAATGGTATTGATTTTCATTGACAATATATTCAACATGAGGAGCCACTCCACGTACCACATCATTGAACAATGGAGAACAAGCTAAAATGTTGATATCATTGTTGGATCCAGCGGCTCCAAAAAAGGCATGCCATATCCATGTGTCGTACGAGGCCACAGCCTCTAGCACAACAGTGAGTTTTTTTTTTTTTTTTTACAAGTAAACTGGCATGCCTAAGAAGATGGGCAATTCTTCCATTCCCAGTGCATGCAATCAAGACTTCCTAACATGCCTGGGAAGCCTCGATTGCTTGCCTTGTGCAATAGCTTGTAAAGGTCAGCTGGATTTGGAAACCTGGGGTACCATTGGCCATACACGGCTTCAACAGCGCAACAAAACTTTTGGAGTGACTCAAGAGCTGTGCTTTCAACCAATCTACAGTACTCGTCGGTTGTGTCAGCTGAGCATCCCCATGCGAGCATACGAAAGACAACGGTTAACTTTTGCTGAGGGGATAGCCCTTGTCGGCCGAGCCCGTCTTTTTTTTGGCGAAAGTATGGCTCGTGGTTGACAACATCATTCAAGATGTGGTAAAACAACTATTTCCGCATTCGGAACCGCCTACGAAAGTTAGTAGCATTAAAATGTGGTCTTTCAATGAAGTAGTCAGACATGAGATTGCGATGGCGATCTTCCCTCTCACGGTTCTTGTACACACGACCGACTCCCGACCCACCATGTTTGGTGGCTTCATTCTCCTGTGAAGTATGGTGGACAATGGCTTCAATCACTCTCTGATGATGTTCATCATCTGAATCATCATCAAACATAAAGGAAAAGATAGCCTTGTCAAGGTTATCCATTGAAAACTTCAAATGATATGAAAAGTATGAGAATGAAGGAGATGATGTGCATGAAATGATATCAAAAGTATGAAAATGAAAGGAGATTGATGAGATTGACAAAGGAAAAATAAATTGAGAAATAGATAAAATATTTTTGGTAGATTATTTGAGAAATAGATGGATATTTATAGAGTTTGGTGTGAGTTTTTGGGTTGGATCTGACCTAATTTAATTTAAAATATTATTTTGACTGTTGGATTTAAATTTCAGCCATTTGATCTTTTTTTGTACCGTTAAAATAGCTTAGATTTAATCTAGATCATTAATTTAAAGTTACTATTAGAATTTTTTTTTTAAAAAAAACAGATTCTTTGAAGCCTAACGGATCTTTGAGCTGGAAACACAGTGCGTGTGGGCCCCAGCAATACTATTTGATTTTAAATAAATAAATAAATAAAAGTAAACAGCCCAAGCCCAACGGCTCATTGTGGTAGTGTTGACACATGGTTTTAGCCACAGCTCCAACCCATCAAAAAATGTCACCAGCACGGGTCCCACCAATTTTCAGAAGTACATGGGCTTTGCCACCTCAGCGTGGGGTCCAGTAAATAGTATTGGGTCCAGGCAATACTTGGACCCATATTTGGGTCCAAATTTGAGTTTTCCCAAATTTTGAGTCCTCTCTTTTCTTGGGTTTGGAGAGGTTTGGGGGGATATTTTAGGTTTGAGTCCAAGGATTGGAGACGGCCTAACGTTTTCCACAATACAAAACCTTTAAATCTGTTAATTCATTCCATTCGGTGAGGACATAAGGGTAATTTTACATTAGAAAGAAATTTGGGGTGTAGGGTTACTTTACTCTGAATGCCAATTTAATTTCCCAAAAAAGTGGACACGTGTAGGTTAAAAAGGAGCGAGTGTCATTGATAGCGATTGTTGTTAGCAAACCTCGAAAAAGTTTATTAAATTTCACCGCAAGAAAGACCTTGCTATTGAATACGCGTCAATAATGACTAGAGAGAAATCATATCATTGAAGACTTGAAGTTTCACTGACACTTGCTCATTTGCTCACAACATTCCTACTTCAGTTAAAATTTCTAAGTTTGGCCCTTTCCAACTCCAATTCCAACAATCACCCTTCAGCCAAATTTGCCACTGACTACGTTGCTTAGGCATAATTTCTCTTTATCAGACCCAAAAAAAAAGGGCATAGTTTCTTTTATGGAGGTGTTTTTTATAAGAAAAATTAGGTATTAAACATAATTATCTTTACTAATTAGAATTTGAGACAAACAGTATTTCTGTTTTGGTTTTAATACATAGGAATTGAATTTTGTTTTGGATTTGGTCAAAGTGGAGGCCCAAATTCGCTGGTCCACCTTACATAAATCACTAAAGGGAAAATTATACATTTTGGGTATGTTTGGTAGGCCTCACTGAACTGGATTGGATTAAATAACACTTGAAAATCATGTTTAATAAGAGGGAGGACTAACTTAAATGAGATTTTAGAGTCCTAACAGTAAAAAAACGCATGGCTCTTCCAATTTAGTGAGGCTGAAATTTGCTTTACAAATTAGCGAGTTCGCAAAATAAAACACGCTAGTCCTCCAACACCGACAACCTTCAACGTCTCTCTCACGTTTCGTCAATATCGACTCTTGCTCTTCTTCCAAGCTATACTCAGGTAAGTTTTTCTGGTCTCTCGCTTTGCATTACAATTGAGGTAGGGCTTGCAGTTCCAGAGAGATATAGAAGGAGGTGAACTAAAATATATTATTGGGTTATTGCCTTTCAGCGACAACTATATATTTTGGGTGGCTTCAGGCTCTGCCATCGCCGTAGAGATTGAAAGGAGGTTTCTTGGGTAAGTATTTGGTTCTAGCCATCAGCTAAATGAAATTTGAATTTTGAGTCTTAGCCCCAAGATATTGTGGCACATTTGTATCTGCCATTGCAAGGGCCATGTCAAAATCAGGTCTTGCGATCCCAAGTCCATGGAATGCCAAATCTTCTTCTGTTAATTATTGGTGTACATTAGTTTGATTATGGGGTTTTCAGGTGTGGCTAGAGGATGTGGGTGGCAACACTTGGATGTGTCTGCTTGGTTTGCTAAACTCGGTGGCAACACTTGGCTTTCATTTTGGAGCAGAGGTATGGAAAAAGGCCTGAAGATGAGCTGCCCCAAGTTCTGTAATTTTCTGCCTTTTTCTCTTTCTGGGTTGTTTGTGATTGAATGATTTTTTGTCAAATTGTATGCAGTTCCAATTCGTAGAAGTTCCAAAAAGAGAGAAGCTGAAAATAATGAAACCAGAAACAGAGAGAGAAGAAACGAAAAGGGATGGTGAAGAGAGAGGAAGAAAAGAGAGAGGGGAGAAAGAAAAGAAGAAGAAAACGCTTCACTAATTAAATATTAGAATTTATTTGCCTCTTTCCTTAATGAAATAATGAATTGACCAAAAAAAATAAATATTCGAATTTTATTTATTTATAGATTACAATTTTTAATTAAATTTAAATATACTAAATATTTGTTTTTTAGTTCGACACAGCACCAAACATAGGTATTTACTATTTTTACAATCCAGCTTCTTAGTTTGACGCATAACCAAACGTAGGTCGGTACTTAATCCAGCTTAGGTCAATCCAAGCTAATTCGAGACAGTTCCAGAATTTAGTCCAGTCCATGACAGTCCGCTGTGCCAAACGACCCATTTTTGTTTAAAAGCCTGACCTAAATTCGTTGCTCTCTCTCTCTCTCTCTCTCTCTCTCTCTCTCTCTGCAACAACAACGACCACATCGCCATGATCTGCAATCATCGATCCAAGATTGAGAGATCAATCTGCAATGGAATTCCATGATCTGCAATCATCGATCAAGATCGAGAGATCAATCTGCGATGGAATTCTCAAGCTGCTTGACTCGCAGCTCATCCCTTCGGCATTCACCAGCGACTCTTAGGTCTTCTAGCTCAAGATGAAGGGCATTGTGATTGCTATCTTGATGAGTTCAAGATCGATTGACTTGCGGCTCATCCCTTCGAATAACAAAGATTAGAACATCTAAGGTTCCAATCTCCAGTTTTCGTGTAATATTTTTTTGTTAATTGCTCAGATCTTGTGATATTATTTTCATATCAGACTTCACATCAATGTCAAGCCCTGATAATCTTATGACTTGTGTTTTTCTCTCTCTTTGTGAAACTTATGAAATTTGTTATTTTAAGAAATATTGAACTGATATGGATGCACATTTAACTACTGATGTTACTTTTGTATAATTTTTTATTTCTACAGAATTTCAGTCTTGTTTATGGTTGGTGTTTTCTATCCCTTCCACATGTTCACCTCACACCTTTTAATGAGATTATCCTTTTCTTTGGCCAGTAATGGCTAGTCATTGCTCTGATAAGTAGGGCTCTTAAAAGTGTATCTTCGGGTACAGTTATATATGAACTATCACTTCCTCTTCCAATTTGCTGTCATTTCTTTTAAGTGAAAGTGGCTTCTCAATTGGTCATTTGTTTCTATGAATTGCTTATTAATTTTGTATGTAACCTTCATGTTAGATTTTGCACGTTTGAATTTTTAAGGCTTTTACGCTGCAGTCTTGGAGAAAGATGATTGTTGATATCTATAGCATCAATCAAGTAATACTGAAATGAAGCTGTTTGTAGGGAGTCGATTTTCTGGTTTTCGTGTAATGTTTTTTTGTTAGTTGCTCAGTTCTTGTGATATTAATTTCATATATGACTTCACATCAATATTTTGATCTATTGTTTAAATCTCCACCTTGCATCCTTATTATTTTAGTCGTTGATATCTATTGTCAATGGTATTGCAAAACTTTTTTGGTTTAGCTTTTTGGTGCACGGGTTTGAACTTTTTGATTTGAAAATGGTATTGCAAAACTACATTGTACAGGTTCTGCATTGTAGTTTTGCACAAATTGTATTGCAATTTTGGAAACTGCATTGCAGTTTTCATTTAATTACAATTTGATTTTTGTTCTTTCCTTGGCCTTCAACCTCACTAATTTGAAGAGTAGAGGCTACCCAGATGAGGAATTGGGTGGGTAAGAGAAGAGTAGAACTACCCAAGGGCAAGGGAACTCAAAATTGGTCTTTGGGAAATTGGAAACTGCATTGCAGTTTTCATTTAATTACAATTTGATTTTTGTTCTTTCCTTGGCCTTCAACCTCACCAATTTGAAGAGTAGAGGCTACCCAAATGAGGAATTGGGTGGGTAAGAGAAGAGTAGAACTACCCAAGAACAAGGGAACTCAAAATTGGACTTTTGGAAATTGGAAACTGCATTACAGTTTTCATTTAATTACAATTTGATTTTTGTTCTTTCCTTAGCCTTCAACCTCACCAATTTGAAGAGTAGAGGCTACCCATATGAGGAATTGTGTGGGCAAGAGAAGAGTAGAAACTAGGGGTGGCATTTTAAACCGAAAAACTGCAAAAACCAACCGACAATTTACCGCAATGAAACCGCAATCGCGGTAAACCGAACCGCATTTGCGGTATTAAGAACCGCAACCGCAAATCGGTTGCGGTTGCGGTATTTAATTTTCAAAATTTGCGGTTACCGCAAACCGCAAAGTATGGCCACACGGATGATAAAGTTGAATTATACAAGGAAATAGAACATATGACAACTTATAAGTAATTCGTTTATTTATGCTTCTTCTTATTATAAAATGTACTAAACTATGTTGTTTTATTTGTAGATAACATTGGTGCTCAAACAACACAACGGGGTTCTTCAAATCCACTCACCACCAACACTTGAGTTTGTAACATTGGTGCATTGCATTTTGCTTTGCATTTTCTTTTTGGTTGCAACTTTAATTCATTTTGCTTTGCATTTTCCTTTTGGTTTGTAACTTTAAAAGATTTGGAATTGGAATGCTTGAAAAGTTTAACTTTAATTGGAATGCTTGGAATTGTAACTTTAATTTTCTTAGGTTGTGAATGCTTGAGAAGTTGAGGAGATTGTGAATTATATGT